TCATTTTTAGAAAATTTATTACTAAAAGACGTTAGCAGATCTTTTTTAAGTCTTTCGAAAGACAGAAAGAAGGATTCAAGATAGTTCTCGGAATTGACCATTGTCTTACGAATGACTTTAGGGGTTTTGTCTTCCCCCTTGCCCTTCCTTAAGTAGCAAGCCTGCGTGTAGGCATCGGGGATCGGTCATTCCTTTCAGGCCATTTAAGTATGTGTCAGACCTGAGCTCAACAAACTCTTTGTAAAGGGTTCAGGTTGTTATTTCTTTTTTTTGAAATTTGATTAGATCAGTTATCATTTTTAAACTAAAACTATTAATTTGATTGTTATACAGTGAAACCTTGATATAACGAAGTTGAAATAGAATTTTTGGTTATAAGTATAATTGGGTTTTTTTTTCTAACGGGGCTCTAACCGTCAACATATTCAGAATTTGCAATGTAGAGACTTTTAAGTTGACACTTCGTTATAAAGAGGCTGTAACTAACGGGACTCTATGGAGTATTTTTGTATGAAAATTTCAAAACAAAGCGGTTTTTTTCAGGGGATTCGCCTAAAATTTTATTACTTTGAGTTTTTGCTTTAGCAAGGTTCGTTATATCGAGGTTCCACTGGATTGAATTTACTATAACTTTGAAACTTTATCTAGTGAATCTTTCGATTATGTTTAGATTTCACTTTCTCGGTTATAACAACGTTACCACGACAGTCGGATCTAAGTAACCGGAACAAGTATTTATGACTGACTAAGGACTGGTCACTCCTACATCATTCCCCAAAAACTCGTTGTGGAATTTGTGTGTTGTTACAACAACGACATGGAAGAAATGAGATTTAAAAATAAATATTAAATTTGATAAAAACAAATAAAAGTCCCAAAAAACGGTCAAACACGATCTGAAGCCGAAATCATAAAATACAAATTTTTGAATATAATAATGCAAGTACAAGTAGCGTCTACTGCTCTCATTGTACTGATAACAAAAATGATAATTTTATAAAATCTACTTATGTTATTCTTTTTATTTATTTCAATTTCTTTATGCGAATGTTAGAACTGTATGCAACTTTTTTATTGCATCAGTAAATATATTTGTATTTATTGGATTAGAAAACTAAACTCATTAAAATAAGATTTAAATATTTAACATATAATTTCCATTTATTAAAAACTGGCTACACATTATCACGAGCTGATATATGTGCATTTATTGTTTTTTATACTTTTTGCAAGGCAACCTATATATTTACAAAATTGTATATTTTTCCCTGCGTCACATTACCGCAATGTTTAGTGGTTTTGTATCAGCGATAGCAATTATTTACATACATTAAAATATTTACACAGCATTGAGTACCCCATATACATACATATGTATGTATGTCTGTTTGTACATATTTTCAGCTAATTTAAAAATACTAGACATACAACAGCAGAATATATTCAGCTGTTTATTAAATTAAATTTAATAACAAAGTTAGGATAGATTTTTCAAATTGTCATTAAGTGTATTTAAACTGACGTCAACAACAATTAGTTTCCACATTCATATACATATGTACATACCTATATAGTATGTACATATGTACATATATATGTAAGTATGTATGTTTTATTATAATAAATTAAATGATTTTTTGAGTTTTGAAATTGATAAGCCCACTATGCCATTTTAAAACACATTAAACTGTATAAATTATATGTACATATGTGCAAATGTAAATTATTCATTGTCATGAGCATAATTAAACCGTTGGTTATCGCTTATGTTAGCTGGACGGATGACGTTCTGCCACAACAACAATGTTCTCTAATACGCTGGGCTATTTAAAAATAGAATTCTCTAACAACGGACTTGCATGCATACATACTTATCTGTACCGTTCAATCAAACTTGATTAAGTGACTTTAGAAGGTTTGACTTTGAATTAAAAAATAATCAGTTTCTCTTGAAAAGGTTTAGGTTTTTATTAAGCTTCTATTAAAAGGGCATCTTGAGCTACTCCAATAGCTGGTTAATTAAACGTCAAAATATTGTTTGCGAACCCAATGAAATGTTGCTTTAAAGGGAAAATGGCATATCCTGACTTGTATGTATGTATTTATTTACATACATATGTACATATGTGCAAACATGCTACATACAGACATATTAAATGCACATAATATGTATGCAAAAGTGAGAAATGAAGCGAAGCATTTTTTTTGAAAATTAAGAAAAATATTGGCGTTGTGATGATTGTTTTTCTAAGTCATAGCACGACTAATTAATTTTTGCATTTTTGTCCAAGCAAATGATGCATGTACAAAAAAAAGCAAAAATTTCCCTGTAGAAGAGGAGGGTTTTAAAAGCACTTTCTTCGTCGTACGTGATCACACCAGCGTTATCTCGAAATATCTGATTGCAATGCTCAATAAAATAATGGTAGCAATTTCATTTTCTTCAGGCACTTGAACCGTTTTTTATTTGTTTTTTTTTTTTTTGCAATATATAATGTAAAACAATCGCGAGTGCACAATATCTACATATATTTATATAAAATCTCAATGTTCACCACTTCGATTGGCCTACAGGTTATGTGAACATATTTAGAAATAAAAACTTTAAAAACCCCCTTCACTATAAAAAGCATCGACTTTAAAATTTGTAATCCAATGAAGTGCATGCTGGGCTTTTTTAGATAAAAAATATCTTATCTTGCTAATTATTAATTTATTAATTATTATTAATAGTACTTGAACAATTACTTTTTAATGTGTAAAAGCCAAAAAAGTTGTTGTAAATCACAATTTCTGTCTTTAAAGCTTAAAAAATTAAATTAGTATACATACATACACACATAATAAGGTAATAAATTCAAGTTCAAAACGATAATATATTAATGACACTTTTGGATAATGAACATTTTTTCTCTAGCAGTGGGGAACAACCCTAATAGTGTATGTACATATTGCAACCTAAATCAAGAACAGTCACAACTCAAAATATCCCAAATGTTCAGGAGAGGCAAAAAACTATTGTTGCTACGTAAACAAAACAAAAACGGTGTCAAGAATATTCTTCTGGTACAGGAAGCAATTTGTGGCGGACGTTAGAGATATGGTCAGGAAACTGTTTTATAGTAAAATATTAAATTTGAAAAATGTTGAGTTGTGACTGTTTTTGATTTAATGTGCGATATGTACATATGTATGTATGTACTGGGATGGCACTTAAAACAATTAGCTTGTTTTTTCAAGTGCGTTTCCTTACGGTTTTAATTTATTACCTAATATACTTATGCCATGCTTAATAATACCCACATTTAAACCACTTGAAATGGCTTGATATAAGCAAACTTAACACCCCCAAGTATTTCTTTTTCATAATACAGGAAAATTGTGGGGCATAAAATTTATTCGTTGGTATGTAGTTTTATGTACAAACAAGCATGCACACCCACATTGTATACATAAATTTATTCGCAAAATGTAAACTCGTCGAGGGCTCACATGCTTGAATTGATCGAACGTCACCGGATATATGTACATACATACATATGCGTGTACATATGTATGTGGTACAAATGCACATGTGTACATAGTATATAGGCTCATGCTCGGTATCAATACCCCTCGTATTGACGAATTGATGTGCACCCCGGTTAAAATACTAATTATAAAAACAAAATTATGATAGCAATTTGAATGTCAAATTGTATCTACTGAAAAGTAAACTAATTAAAAACCGACTTTACTTATCAACTCTCCCTCACGTAGGCCATTGAAATTATTCTCCTTATAAAACACAAAATTCTAAATATGTATACACAAGTACGCGTGAAAATGCGAAAATAAGGATGAAAATATACTACTTCCGTGTATGACCTTGTGTAATGACATCTGCTGCAGCGCAATGTTAGGCAGTTAACACCGGTAGCATGGAAATCTTCTACGTCAATTAAAAAAGACTAAACATAGATGGGTGTGTATGCACACATTTGTATGGAGGTATGTACACATGTGAATGTCATCATTAGCATTTTTTTTAATAGTTTTACAATTTAGTGGTACATTTTTATTACATTCTAAATCCTCTAGTTTTACAAGTGGCCCCCATTGCTTACTGTGTTCGTGCGGCATTCACATTTAGTGCTGCTCCAAAAGCACGATTCGCCGACAACAGAGTTTTTCCGCTAATATTTGCCATGTCAAGTCTGCACAATGCACTGATTAATTATCAATTTAATATCAACAAATTATCGAATTTATAAAATTTGACTTCTAGGCGGTTCGAATGTGAGTCGGCCAGCTGAAAAAACACACACGTAGGCAACGGCACAAAATTCAATACTGTAAAAATTGCCCAAAGCAGCAAATGCACAATAATCGCGAAATGAGCTAGCCCCACTTTATCGCTAGCAATCAGCTGGGGCCACCCGTTGGGGGCTAATGTGTATGTACATAGGTTGCCACATTCTATTCTTAAATATTTAGAATTTTTTTGAATAATTGAAAAAAAAGAATTGGTATATAATTAATTAAAATTGTTCGATAATTTAGTTTTTAGTTGTTTTGTAAATGTACTTCCGTTAAAACTGTACAAGCATCACCTTTTTTTAAAGGAAATAGGTAATTCCTATAACACGAAATTAAAAAGCGGAAATTCTGTTAGTGCCAAGATGGCGGATTTATTCATTCACAATTATCGCGATGACAGCAACTTTGTGAATCTTAAGGGAATCAGCTGATTTGTATAGCCCAGCTTTTCAGCTGTGGTTTTTTTTATCAAGAGCGTCGTAAATAAATGTTTTTGGTTAAAAATAGTGAATTATAGAAAATTCAACAAAGTATTATACAAAGCCGTACATAACGTCGGACGTACTCAGCCAGCTGACTACCAGGGATTCAAGTATATACCTATTTTAAAACTCAAGCACTATGGGAGGCGGGGACTTGGTAACTAAACTATTAAACAAATATTTTAAGTGCAGCAACTCATTAATAACACTTGTTTACAGAATTTAAAGAAGTCGTGGCATCCGCACACCATGAAAAACCAGGAGAAGGTCTGGAAAGCGGAACAAGCAAAGTCCCAAGAAGACAAGAAACTCAAGGACTTACGCAGAGAAATAGAGGAAGAAAAAACACGTGAGGAGCTTAAGCATATCGGTCGTAGTTCTGGCATACTTCCACAAGAAGACAAAAAATTGGAATGGATGTATAAAAGTATGCCAATGGTGAAAGTTAACTCTATATCTATATTCATTCAATCACATTTAATTTTTCAGGTAGTACTGATCTTATAAATCGTGAAGAATACCTACTTGGTAGAAACATTGACAAATCTTTTGAAATGCTGCAAGCAGAAGAGCAACGAAAGGATCAAAACATCGTTGGTGTAAAGCAATCTATAAATCATGTTGAACACGAGTGTATACCCTTTTCAATACGTGCATATCGAAATATGGAATCAACGGAGCAAGTTGATTTGCAGCGTAAAGTCATGGAAGATCCTCTAATGCTAATAAGGCAACGCGAAATGGAATCAAGAAAAAAAATTTTGGAAAATCCTGTAAAATTAAAAGAATTACATCGAATACTCAAAAGTGATCAGTTGCTCAAAAAATCTAAAAAGGTAAAAAAGTCCAAGAAACCAAAGAAAAAACACAAAAAGCGTTGTAAATCATCAACGGATGGAGAAACATCTGGTTCCGACTCAGATAGCGATACTGCAAAGGATTTAGATAAAGAGTTAGCCAAAAAATATAAAAAACTGAATAAAGGAGAAGAGTTTTCGGGCTTAAATCTATCGAAATTGTTAGATGCAAAGTTTGAAACTATCACAAAAGAGTTGGATAAAGCAGCAGGAAGTAAGCGTAAGAAAGATCACCGAAATCGCTCAGTAAGCAGTGATAGTGACCACCGTAGTAGGAGAAGAAGCCGTTCAAGAGATCGAGGAGGAAGAGAGCGTGAAAATTATCATAACAAAAATTATAGCAAACAGCGAAAATTCAGAAACTCGCGTTCAAGATCCCCGAAGGACTATCATCAACGCCGGCGTTCTGACGCTCGTTCACCTGCAGAACCGCGTAAACGACAATACTCTACTTCACCCTCCATAGAGAAGGAAGTAAGTAAAGCCGCAGGAAGTAGAAATGCTACTAAAAATAAGCGTTCAAGTCGTTCAAAAAGTAAAGATCGAAGTGACACACGTAAAAACAGGAATCGTTCGGGTGATCGGGAAAAAAGAACAAGAGCACAAGATTATAAAAAGTCGGAAGGACAACAAAATCAAAGGTCCCGATCGAGATCACCCAAAAACCATAAAAGCCGACGGCGTTCACCAACGCGATCACCCAAAGAATCACGAAGGGGAGGCCGCACAAAATCCCGATCACCACAACGCCGCCCAAGATCAAGGGACCGTAACGAAAATAACTCACGACATGCTCGGTCTAGTGAAAGTAAAAGCGGAAGCTCACAAAATAAGTTAAGCGACGCGGAAAAAGAAGCACGTCTGCGTGAAATGATGGAAAACGCTAGTTGGAGGGAAGAAGACCGCGTCAAAACGGTGCAAAAGCACCGCGAAGCAAATGCCCGCGAAGAAGAGCACTACAAAAAGCAGGAATTTGATAAAGAATTCATTAACAAGGAAGTTAAAAAAGCTATTGCCAATCAATCATCCGTTGGGTCACGAATACGTTCAAACTTGAACAATATCCAACGCACTTCTGCCGCTATGAACTCAAATTTTACGAGAAAGTAGATTAGATTGGCATATTCTGATAATTTTGGAAATTTTTTGTAATTATAAGCAATGCTTTACATAACAGCAATTTATACGTAATCAAAAGTATAAAGGTTTTAATACTTACTTTTAATATTTTATAATTAGAAAGTATGCACAGTTTTATAAGGGTTTAGCTATTTTATTTTTATTCAACGTCTAAACGATTATTCGGTTTGGTATTTTCAACAAATAAGATAACTGAGTCTCCTGGCAAACTCTAATTGAATGTGTCTTCATAACAGTAATACATAAGTTTTACTCATTTGCAATATGCATGCAATATGTCTCTTGTGCTCTTAAACAACGTAATGTTTAACTTAAGCATTGCTCAAAGCAGCTACACCTGGCAGTGTCTTGCCCTCTAAGAGCTCCAACGAAGCGCCGCCTCCGGTCGAAACGTGGGATACTTGAGATTCAGTGCCCCACTTGGCGCAGCATGATGCTGTATCACCTCCACCAATGATGGAAACAGTACCGGATCCAGTTGCTGAGACTACAGCGTCCATTACGGCTTTTGTACCGTGAGCAAAGTTGGGGAATTCAAAAACACCGGGTGGTCTGCAAGAATACTCTGTGTCAGCAGTTTTTATCACCATAATGTATAAGGCATAATAACTCACCCGTTCCAGACGATGAGTTTTGCACGGGAAATTGGTTCCTTGAACAATTCCCTAGTTTTTGGTCCAACGTCCAGACCCATGTAGCCATCAGGAATGCCTTCCTCGACAGTTGCTTCGCATGTTTTGGCATCTTCAGCGAATTTATCTGCGCATACGAAATCGACTGGTAAATGTAACTGAACATTGTTTTTCTTTGCCTTCGCGACCAAATCATTTACGATCTTTGAACCTTCTTCGTCAAAAAGCGATGCTCCAATCTTCATATTGTTGATTACTTTCAAGAAAGTAAAGGCCATGCCGCCACCAATCACCATCTCATGAACTTTATCCAGTAGATTTGAAATCAATTGGATCTTGTCAGCTACTTTAGCGCCACCCAAAATGGCCAAAAATGGGCGTGGTGGGTTATCTAAAGCCTGTGCAAAGTATTTCAATTCTTTGTTCAACAGAATGCCGGCAGCACGCTTCTCGAAACCTTCGCCCAGCATGGAGCTGTGAGCGCGATGGGCAGTGCCGAATGCATCGTTTACATAAACATCACCAAGTTTGGCCAAGCTCTGGCGGAATTCCTTGACCTTAGCTGGATCAGCTTTCACTTTTGCACCACTTGCATCAAGACCCTTACCCTCTTCTTCAATGTAAAATCTCAAATTTTCTAGCAAAATTACAGAACCAGCTGCTGGGTCTTTGCATTCAGACTCCACTTCCGGTCCAACACAGTCGGGCAAAAATTTTACATCCTTACCTAGAAGTTTTTTCAACTCTTCAGCTACAGGGGCCAGCGTATATTTTAAATTTTTTTGTCCATCTGGCCGTCCTAAATGCGACATGAGTACCTGTGAAAATATTTGTTGTGAACGCAATTATAAATCTGTGTTCGTATGGAAAAGTAGCTTATGTCGAAAGGCTGGCTTTAGTATAATGCGGCAATCCCTTTATTTTTTAAACGGCAAGGAATTTTTTGATGAGACTTAATAAGAATATTGACTTGCTAGTATCGGAACTATTTCTTCCACGTTTATTTGCCAAAAGTTGTTCAACGGCTTATCGCCAGTGAGTCATTCGCAATCGTATGCTGTGAATGCCGATTTATACTAAAGCCAGCCTTTCGACATAAGCTACTTTTCCATATGAACACAGAAATATATGTACATATATCTCAGAAAATTTATGCAAAACTTTAGTAATATGACTTACGACCGACTTGGCTTTTGCGTCCAAAGCATGTTTGATACTATCCAAAGCGGCCACAATACGTTGGTTGCTTGTAATTTTCCCCTCTTTGATGGGCACATTGAAGTCCACTCTGAAAATTCAATTTATGCAACTCGCACTCAAATTGTTGTTACAAAAGCGTTTACCTCATCAACACTCGTTTGCCATTTAGGTCCAAACTTTCAATGCTCAATTTATTAAAAGCCATTTTGCCGCCTTTCTTTTTTCCTTTATTATCACAAGACGATAATCTCTGTTGAATAAAATTTCCAAAAAATAATTCTGTCACAAAAGATGTCTGTCTGCGCGAAAGGTTCCTGATGGTTATCGAGAGTAGCCGATTCAATGTCATTACAAGGGCAGATCGCGAATCAAGCAGGGTTGTTATTTGTGCCAACTAATGTCAAAAAAATCAATAAATGCTTCGAAACTAGAATTTTTTTTAAAAAGTTAGCTTTATATTTTTTATTACAATGTAAATTTTTGGCATACTATGACTATGAATTGTTAAAACTTGAAGTTTTAAACTTCAGTAAAGTAATTTTAATTTGAAGTTACGTGGCATACCCCTACTTGAGCGGAAATTAGTGCTTGCCACTCCGGAAACGCGATTTTTTTTGCGCAGCTTCTAATTAGAATTTTTCTAATTGCGCTACTGAGACAGGATATAATTTCAAAGGAAATGTTGCTATGCGGCTCCTGAAACTTAAGAACGTGATAAGGTTCATTTCTAATGAATGAATCATCGGCACATCACGCAAGAACAAGAGAGTGAAAAAAGTAGATTTTTTTGGCGGATTTTACGCCATCTTCTTTTGCTGGAAAACGAAAGAAAAGTGAACAAAGCAAAGAAAACAACGAAAACCAAAATTATTGGCAGCCACAATTTAGGTAAAACTATTAATTAAAACCCTTTAAAACGTCTTGTCATGTTGAATTAACTTTTCTTTAATTAAAGAAAAGTGTAAAATAGTGGTGCTGTGATGTAAACAAATGCTCAGCTAACGAACCCGGTTTGGCAAACATATTCTCTGAACCAGTTACAAATACAATGTGGCGTTCTTGCGTGATCTTGTATTTTTGGTTCATGGTACATGACCCCTCACCCCCATTTGGCAATTTTGGTAAACTGCTATTTGGTACTTGGTGATTTTATAAACTATGAACTTCCTGTAAAGCTTATATACCCATTATCAGCAAATTATCAAGCTTGTCACCACGAAAATTCCGTTATCGTAAACAACGTAAATCTAGATTACGAGTTAATTGTTTTCATACCCGCAGCTTTTCTATTCGTAGATTTTCTACGATGGACCCGGAATAAGGTGTGTATGGTATAAAATTTTATTCGTCCAAATCATTGTCATTGTGAACTGTTTCTTGATTAAAGTCAGAATTAAAATGTCAACAACTCCAAAAGTTGTTTTGACGTCCGTGAAATTTTCAGCAGTCGCTTGTGTATGAGAAAAAATTAATTTTTAAAACGATAAAACTGCATTTTAGTGAAATGGTGTGATAAAGTGCAACAAAATATAGTAAAGTGCAATAACTAAATTATGTTATAAGCAAGTAGTGTTAGTGTTTTTAAAGATTTTCATGCTATAGCGTCAGGGCGCTGCCAGTCTCATGTAAAATGGCGTTGAATTTATTTAGTACTTGCAAATTAATTTATGTGTAATTAGTATTCATATGCTAATGAAATGCTAAATATAAGAACAGAATCATTCATACGCGTTCGCGGCGTAATAACTATAGCGTTTTTGCTCTGTGTTTGTACAAACCAACGATGGGAGACGCAGGCGGATCGTATCTCTTTGTTACCTGTAGCGCCGCATTTACAGCATCATGCACCATGCGATCGCAGTCGAAAGGTTTTCACCGAGCCGTACGGAGAAATAAGTGATGGTCCGGCTGGTTTTAACTACACACAGGACTCGCATTGCGAGTGGTTAATAAAGGCTCGCAACGACAGCCAATTTATTACACTAACCTTTCATAGCATGGGTACAGAGTGCTCATATGATTACATTTACGTGTATGATGGAGACTCATTCAATTCAACGCTGTTAGGCAGCTTTAGTGGGCGTACGCAACCACAGCGTTTGGTAGCGAGGAGTGGAAGCGTTAGTATTTGTTTGTTTCATTCAGCCTTTGCAGGTTTGATAAATTGACAATCTTTTTCAGATGCTCATACTAATGTACAGTGACACGAACTACGTGCTCGATGGTTTTAGAGCTTCCTATTACATATCAAATTGCTTGAATAATTGCCACAATCATGGAAAATGTGTTGGTCATCAGTGCGTATGTCATGGAGAATGGGTCCTGCCCGACTGCGAAAATGAAGCTTGTCCTAACAAGTGCGGTGAATCGCAAGGGCGAGGAAAATGCGTCAAAGGCATTTGTCACTGCGAGGAGGTAAATAAAGCTTTAAAACATATGCATGAAAATTATTTCATCTGTTTTCATTGTATCACATTTTATACACGACAGGGATTCAGCGGCCGGTTATGTGATTTGTATATCAATCCACCGGGAGGAAACTGGCGTTGGCTGGCCACAGATGCAGAGGGCATGACTTCGCGCGCTGCCCACACTGCCATATATCTCGAAGAACAGGATGCTCTCTATGTATTTGGCGGTTACGACTTAAATAACGTTATAAATTCCCTACAAGTAAGTCAAAGTCAAATTAATAACTCATCTTATAACATTTCCACAAACTAATTTTTTTTCTAAGGTTTATCGCTTCAGCAGCAGTCAGTGGGTGGATGAGTGGGGTTTACTACTGCAAGATCACAATTATTCACAAAAAATAAACGCAACTCTGCTTAAAGCTGTTTTACAACATAAAAATGAGGATGAGGCCAAGCTTTGGGGTCTAAATAGCGATGTTTCGTTTTTTCGAAACATTCTATATACACTTGCCGAATCTAATTTGCATCAACGGCGCACACGATCATCGCAGCTTATTGCGGATGTGAGCGCTAATACGACAAATGACCAAATTCCTGAATATTTTGAAGATATCTTAGAAGAGGTTACAGATAATAAACCTGAAGGTCGATATGGACATGCAGCAGATCGTGTACCGGGTATAGAGCAATATAGCAAAAGGTGGAAAATACTTGTTATATTTATGATTTATATAATTTTAGGCGGCTTCGTAATATATGGCGGCAAAAATGCGAATGGAAGTTTTTTCAATGATTTATGGTTTTATAATAGCACCGAAAGCGGTGGTAAGTGGAAGCAATGGGCACGCAAATCAAAGCTGGTGCCACCAAAAGTTGCACGTCATACAATTACATTGGCTGGTGAATTTCTATATTTATTCGGTGGAAGCCTGGAAACCGGAGAATTTTCATCAAAGTAAGCGAAAAATTAATTAAATTACATCTTATGCATAGTTACATACAGTCAGGCAATAAAGTTTGCGTACAGCGAATTTTTTACAATACGGACAACTATTTTTTAAATATTTTATTTTTTGCTAATTTTTTATAAAAATATGGTTAATTCTACAGCAAAACCCCAAAACCCCAAAATCAGAGTTCCAAACCTTGTGCACAATTAAAGAAAATTCCGCAAAATTTCATTCAAATATTGCACTTTTTATTTACGCTCCCTAGAAAAAAATTGAGTATGCAGTTTCTTAGCCCATTGAATTTTAATATAATAAAGTGAAAGTATGAGGAAGCTGGGACTTACCATTGTTTTTTGGCAAATTTTTTTGTTGAAGGAGACGCACATTTTTTTTCTTATAAAAAAATTACATACATAAATATTGACAACGCATTTTTGTATCTTTTAACATCTAGAATTTATCGATTACGTCTGCCCATTTATAACAAAATTAAACCTCCTATTAATGAGGATGCAACCAGCAGCGGAGAAACTGTAAATATTGAAGGCGTTAATGAGGATGATGACGATGGTCAATGGGAATTTGTTCACCCTCGCGGTGGCAAATCATTAGATGTGCGTCTCGCTGCTCATAGTACGGTGTACTATAGCGCAACAAATTCCTTAATTGTTTTCGGCGGCATTATGTCGAGTTTGGCGCGTTTCTCCAAACTCTCCGACCGAATTTTCGCATTCCAGTTAGATAAATTGCATTGGACCGAAATACTTTACCCGCGCACTGCCTTACGCGACACAAACATTCCGCATGAACGCGCTTTCCATTCCGCCACCATTTCCGGAAATTATATGATCGTTTTCGGTGGCTATACGCATCGTCACAATAAAGATGAAATCTGCTATGACAATCAAATGTACTGGTATCATCTCAGCTGTCACATTTGGATCAATCAAGTAGTGTCGGCTGATGAAAATTTGTATCCGAAAAAACAAGGTGTATTCGCACATGCAGCTGCATTAAGGCGTAATAATACATTGCTGATTGTTGGCGGTTATCACGGGAATGTCAACGCTGATCTCTTCGCTTATGAACTGCCACAAGTATTACGCGTACAAAATCATGGCTACAATCCAGAAATGTCATGCCGTTTCCATACTTCACATACAGCATGTTTATCTAATCCCGAGTGCGGTTGGTGTTCAGCTGACAGTAGCTGTTATGGACGCACAATTGGCGCTAATTGCACCACAAATCTACAAACCACACGTTGTCCCGGTATATGCCCCTCGCTGGGAGATTGTCATTCATGCCTGGTACATGGAACACAGTGGCATGCCGAAACAGATCACTACTTCTCAGTCGCCAGCAAATTGGGCCTGAACGAATGCACTTGGTGCGTTCAGAACGCGAAATGCCATCATCGTGATGACAATTATGGCATATGCGGTGAGGATACACCGTCACATAGTCCGGGTTGGTGGGGCGAAAAGGGCACCGAAATACGCCGTCCCTCGCTATGCACCAGCAATGATAAGCGTCCTGGTCTTACGTACATTAAATACCATCATCCTGTTAATTTAACAATGCCCGATTTTGTATCTATCGTAAATGCGACAATGGTAGACTTTGGCTCGCCTCCGCCTACCACGCAATACGAACAAAAGACGGAGGGAGAAATGTTGGCACGCCTGCTGGGTTTTGTGAGACCACAAAAGACTTGGGAAGAACCGTCCGAAATACAAGTGAGTGATATAATTAGCTTGAAAAATCTATATCTTTCTATTTGCCTTCTATACTCTTAGGTCTGCACCAGCTATTCCACAGCTATATTACGCGCAGGTTTAAGCAAAAACTTAGAATCACTCAAGGAATTGACTAATCGTTCCACAAATCAGTCGTATTGCGGTCCCGTTGAAATTCCTAGCACAGATCAACCTTTCCTAATAGATTTCCAAGCTCGTAGGCGTGTCGGTCTCTCTACACTGTATAATGCTTATCAGAAGACGAAAATGGAATTGCAACATATTTATCATGGAAATCTAAATGCT